AACTATACCGTTATAATCCAGACTCATAAACGGTTTTCACCTATGCATTCGTAGTGATGAGTAATACTTAAATACGTTAAAAGAATAAGTCCTACATCTCTTAAACCGATGGTCAACGGAAGTCAAAGTCCTTGCCTCTTGGGCATTTTCGTAAATTCACGCTTTTAAAGTTAATAAAAACTTAAAATTAGGGACGGGTTGTCACATAGGCCAATTTTAGAGATCATTTGTGATAAAAAACCCTAATATTAATGTTGAGGACTTGATAAAAAAAAACTGAAAACCACCGATGTTTCTGTCAAAGAACATTGACTTTGATATATATTTCACGTGTATTGACTTTGGTATAAAGTTAAGCAAGAAATACATTTCATTTCTAATTTTGATTTTTAATTTTTACGTTAAAATAAAATAAGGAGAAATACATGAAGGCAATGAAGAATATAAAATACGGAGGAAATATGGTGTGAGAAATATAAGGAAGTGTACAAAATGAAAACTATTTAAAACCTAAAACTATTTTAATGTTCACTTTATTTCTCTTCTCCTATATATTTTCCTCGTATCTGCAGAAACACAAAGTTTAGAAACGAAATGAATATTTTCCTTGTTTCTCTTCTCCATTTTTTCTCATTGCTTTGCATTTTCAGAGGAAGCATCTAAAAGTGTACGCGGCTGAGCTGCCTTAGTTTACTCTCCAATGTCGAAAGTGGCAAGAAAACTCTATCAAGCTACCGCTTTGGATTAAGGTTAAGCACATGTCCATCACCATAATTAGATACATAATCCTAGTAATTGGTAATAAATATGGTTTGTGTAACTTTCATGCAGCTCACCCCCCTTTTCCTAGGAGTTTCGAAGCTGATGAAATTCCTGTTCAGTATAAATTAAGCTTATCGCACACATCTTATCCATATTTCCATATAGATAAAGCAGTTTCGACACCATTTTTCAGTCACCATATAAAACCATGCACGCTATGAAGCTAATGATGCTTATTCTATTGATCATTTTCGCAGCCAAATTTCCGTTTGATCATGTAGCAGCTTCTGCTCGACCTCTGGGCGGCATCATGAAGCCCAAGACTTTTGGTCCAAAGACGGCGTTCCTACCACAAGCTACAGGTCCAGTGCCACCCACCGGCAGCCCCAATCCATGCATCCCTAGGGCGGGACGCGTCAACGGCCATTGCAACCGAGTATAATCAACGAGTGGAAGCTCATCGTCGATCATCTCAAGCACCTGCTCTAAGAAAATCACCAGAAAGCAATGAAACGTGCATAATTTGGTGTACCTACACACACAGAGAGATATATATATATGTGTAGTTCTAAGCAGACAGACTTGGAAAAGGTTCATGCACAGGTTTATCATTTTTATTTTTTCTTTTTATTTTGTCAATATTTATATTTTTTCATTCTTGGCCGTGTTTGTATATTTTGGTCGTATACATGTATTTTATTGGATTCGGACCCTCTACGTTTATATTATATGCATTTACTTATTTTGCTACATCTTGACCATTATAATTAAGTTTTATATTGAAAAATGAAGGCTTATTGTATTAACATTCCACAAATTGTTGAATAAACCCCACATACTTAATACACCATACATTTGCTTTTTCAAATGAAAAATTATCTTAATACACCCCACATACTTCCCCATAATACCCTCACACCTCACATTCTCAATATACACTTTACATTTTCTACATGCACCCCATATTTTCTATACACCCCATATTTCTCAAATCTTATAAAGCTTTAATTTGGACAAAAAATGCCGACTGGAATTTTGACAAAAGATACCGCCTAGGATTTAAAGCATATGTGAGTTGTTTTCAATTCCACCATTAAAACCTATGTCGTCTTTTTTTTTAATATCTTGTGGTAATTTTAGTTGTTTAATTCTTCATATAATCCATGTGATCCCTAAAAGATGAATACAAATATAGAAGCTTGAATAACGAAGCAAAAACAAGATTAAATAATTATCGATGTTGTCAAAATCACTAAAACAATAAAAAAATATGAAGTCTTACCTTATGTGAAGCTTCCAAAACATCGATTTCGTGTTTCATTCGTCAAAAATAATTTTTCTCAATCAACACGTTTGTAATTTCATTGGTTAGAGTTTTGTTCAACAATGGAAGGTAGGAGGGATTTTGATAGTTGAAGAAGATAAATAATACATTAAAAGTGATTTGGAGTGTATTTAGAAATATTTTTTTTTTCTTTTAACCTAACAAGGTCAAAATTGCCTTTGTTTAGTAGAGTAAATAAATTATTTAATATTAAATTTTAATGTGGTGTGCGTTCAACATTTTGTGGGATGCTAATATAAAAAACCAAAATGAATTTCCAAACTGACATTTAACTGTTGCCGTCAGTTTGTGCATGCCTTCGATCTCTTCGCGTTTTTCTTCTTTCGCTGATCTGATCTCCTTTTTTGTGACCGGCTAACTTAAGTTTTTGGTCCTCGAGTGACATGTTTATGTATTTTTTGTTTTTGTTTAATTGGTACTTTATTTCTGATGGATGGTGAATTTCAGAATTGGATCCACTCAACTTCGGACCTTAGTGTTCGGAGTCTGAAGTTAAAAAATCTGGACCATACAAATTGAATTTGATAGTTCTTATAAACTCATTTCGCTAACTCAACTCATACAAACCAAGGATTCTAATTTATTTTCCACAAATGAAGGCCCATAATTTTTTATCCTTAGGTTCCAAACACTAACGTCCGGAATAGATCCAATTTCGCTTGTTTTCTTGTTTTGCATTTTTTTATCCTTTAATTATCTTTGATTTACTCAATACAAAGACAAAAACTCCGAATAGATAAATAAATAAATTCAAAGACTAAAAAAAGGGAGTGTTAAACACCCCCAGGTACTGTTCACTTTTAACGAAAAAGACATTTTTACTTTAAAAAGTCACTCATGGTACTATTTTCTTACAACATTTTTTTGTCATTTTGATTAAAACTTAAAGTTTTCAAGCTATTTTCATTAGTTTTCCTCTAAAAAATGGGAAAATGCTCATCAATCATCACTAACTTGTTAACGGGTCCTACACTATAGTTTGTCAATGGGCTTGGAGGCTATTTGGGTTCCCAGTTCTTTGGGTCAGCCCATTGGGTGTAGAAGGCCCATTATCCTTATCTCCCTCACGTTTCCGTTTGCTGAGTTGTCTACGTTTCCATTTCTATAATTGACATGAGGTTTTTTTTTCCCATTTTTTTTCCCATTATCCTTATCTCTGTCACGTTTCCGTTTGCTGAGCTATCTAGGTTTTCGTTTATGTAATTGACATGAGTTTTTTTTCTTTTTTTGAACAAACGATATTATTTACACCACGGAAAGAGAGGTTGGCTGAGCCTCACAATGGACTAACAATAATGTGGTTTAAATGTCTTTGACGAGAATCGATCTTAAGACCTCTCACTTACAAGTGAAGAGGAATATCACTAGATTGTAATACTAAGTGGCGTAATTGCCATGAGTTTGTATTAAGATTTTGATGAGAATCAAACATAAAACTTCTCACTTACAAGTAAAGAGGAATACCATTAGACCAGTACTAAGTGGTGTAATTGCCATGAGTTTGCGTTAAACCTTTGTCTTTTCCCATCAGAGGCTTATGAATAAATATTCAAGTTTCATTAAGTCTCTGTCTGGATTTTGGACTTTTTTGTGAGAATTTTGTGCTTCCAGAAACTCTATCAGCTTTAGTTAAGCAGTGAATTCATAGTCTAAATATGAATATGAAGTATCCTTAGGATCTGCCAATTGGGTAAGTAAATTTCTCAACTTTTTCAAAATTCATCTTTGTTATTGTGGCTTAAAAACATTTTTAGGAAGTGGGTAATTTTAGTTGGAGATATTTGATCAAAGATGTTATATTTGTGTAGACATGATTCCCTGAGATGTGTTCAAGTTCACATCTTTAATTGTGATTTGGGTGGTAGCTTGATATGGTCGTCAAGTTTTGCGAATGATTGCGAATCTCTGTAGTGGAGTAAGAAATTTGAGAGATGTATTGTGAATTTCTCTAGTTTTAGCGGTTTTGTGTTGTTTGAGCTAGTTGTGGAAGAAGAGAAGTTAAGAAATGTGAGAAATATTGGGTGAATGAAGAAGATAAGGTCATGGTTGAGTCTATACTAGGCACTGAGGCATTGTAGAGACACCAAGGGTGGTGGAGCTGGGGATGCGAATTCTAGTCGGAATAGAGAAGTAAAACTGCATTTTTCAAACCACTGAACAAAAGTCGAAAAGAAAAAGTTTGAGGCAATGATGAATCTCAGACCTTCCACTTTTTCCCTACATATTCCACTTTTTCCTCAAATGAAGCGAAGACAATTATGTGTTGCTTTAGATATTCTTATATTTCTTAAGTAATTACTAAAAATGAATAGGATATCATTATTATGCTACGTGATGACACACATATTCTTATATAAGTCGTTCTCCTAGGCATAATAAGATGACTACGCTACGTGATGACACGCATGCGTACTTGCTCACGTGCTTATTTCTTATTAGAACTTAGGCAAACATTTGACGAGATTGTTGACAATTGAAATGTTAACTAAGCATTGATTAACGTACTTATTTTCTATTGATGACACATCAAATAATTTGCTTATTTAATTTAAAAATTAGTCTATCTAAAGTCATTATTCCAGCACAAATATGAATAAAACTCTTAAACATTTGCTATTAAAAACTAACGTGTCAATCTGTGTTAATTAAATCCCTAATTACAATTGGTATGTAGAGTACAATGCCCAGGTTCTTAAATCCCTAATTACAGGTGGTGGACCTTATTCAACGACAACGTCGAAGAAGAAGTGGTCGTATCCTATCACCAAGGGCTGGTAGTAAACAAATTTTTGGTTAGAAAGAAATCAAACTTCAAACCAACTCCACCCTACTCACATTAAAAATGTGAACTAAAAATAGAAAAACGAACTGGTTATCAGACAAATCCTTAAACTGCCCAAGAAAAGAACGGAAAAAAAATTCAAATTACCAGAAAACAGAAATGAGATGTTCTACAAAATCATAATTTCATCATTCTTTCTTCAACTCAAGTAATTGGAACTGCACAGCCTAGCCCATACTGCAATTCCATGAATCATGAGCTCCAGGACCAGAAAATCCTCCTTATCTAATGTTGAACATTCTATACCTAACCCGAATTGGCACACCCATAATTATGTACTCACTCACTCCTCTAACTGCGTCAACTCTCCTATTCGCACAACCATATGAACAGATGATCCACCACCTGCTCAAACGACGCCAATGCATTCACGCTCTTCCCCATTTTATTTGCTCCGAATTACGTCAGTCCAGCCAGTTGCCCCATGTATTTCATCACATCCCTGATGCAGATCATGTGCCGACAGTCATTGTTCATCCCATGTTGTTGTATCGTATGCAGACTGGCGTCCCTTCAATCCCAAGCATCCTCTGCACTTCCAGAATGTCATTTCTTGCCAATTGGAAAACTATTCGCAACCAAACTCAGAAATTAGGAGCCTTCGAGAATATAACAAACAAACGAAAAACTTAACTTTGAGAATATTAGTTTAAGTGGTACCTGAATCAGAAGCACAAAGTAAGAAAATAGAGAGACCTATACCAAAATTAGAAGCACATAGCCAAATTGGTAAATATTAGTTTATAGATTTACAAAATATAAAGAGACCCAATTCCAGAACCAGAAGCACATAGCCAAGAAACTAAAAAGAAAAAAAAAACTCGATGGACTGTGTGAAGAAATAAGTCAACCCAGACACATAACCACATAAAGTAATCCAAAAAAACCCAAAAGTCACACAAATTAGTCAAATTCTTTTTGGCAGAAAAGAAGAACATACAGTGGGAAACTTGTTGCTGGTGTAGCAAATAAGCATACAGGCCTTCCCCACAGCCCCATGTCCCAGAGTCACACACTTGATGAACCTTGAAGAACTTCAAGCCATTGGAAACTAAGAAAATACTCAGAGAGCCAAAATCTACATAGAAAACGAAAAGACAAGATGGGTTGTGGTTGGGTTGTTGGGATATGCACAAACAGAATGATCCGATAAAACTACAGGATGCAGGATAAGATTCAAAACATATTAAACCAAAAACCAGTAGGATAAAACTACAGGCTGCATGATAAGATAAACTACAGGCTGCAGGAGAGTTTCGGTTCCATCTGGAGTGGTTTTCTTTTCTTTTTTTATTATTATTTTTGTGTTTTTTTATGGTGAAAAGATTAGAGTGCGATGCAGTAGTTATAAGAAGATCAATCTAAAGGGTGACAATGAATTTTAAAGTGTGGGTGTTTTCATCCGGTGGTCCAGAATGTTCATGGTTAAGATAGGCACATATGCGGAGCATTTCGCTTTTTGTAGATAATTTATGGATGCTGTGATATTATCATTTTGACCCTATTTCTGTGAGCAGTTATAAGTTAGCTTTGTGTGTGAAGTGAGGATATTCTTGGTATTTCAGATTGTTTTACCATTTTGTCCTTTTCACTTTATATATATAGAAGAATGGGTACATTATAAATAAATTAGGACACAAATAAAAGATTAAAAAAATTATGAGTACAAATGAAATTTTAAAAAATATGGGTGTAAAAAGAAATTAATGCATGGGTACAAATTATAACTAAAAATAAAATACTACAAATTTAAAAAAAAAAGTTGCAAATTAAAAGTGGGTACAAACTAAAAATATAAATATATGATACAAAGTTTAGCCATAAAACATAAAAATACCATATGTAATTTTTCTATCACTGATTAATTATATAATGTCACTTGACATTAAACACATGGGCACAAATACAAATAAAACTTTAAAAAATATGGGCACAAAAGAAATTAATATATGGGTACAAATTAAAACTGAAAAGAAAATTGGTACAAATTAAAAAAGGTTTCCAAATTAAAAATGGGGACAAACTAAAAATAAAAATATATGATAAAAAATTTAGCCATAAATATAAATATACTAATTGTCACATTTTTAACACTAAATGAATATTTTTAGGTAAAAATATTTTATTATTAAAATAATTAATGATGTTATTAATACCCAAGAACCTTAATAAAAAATTGAAAATGAATAAGGTTTTAATCAATGCAGTAGCAAAGTTTATTGTGTATGATTAATTGAAAGAGAGTTTGATCAAATATACAGAAAAGTAGCAGTGTAAAATTCTCCTTTTTTATTCTTAACAATTCTCACTCTGTAAACTCTAAAACAACACAAGAACAATACTTGCTAGACGTTTATGCAAATTTGATGATTGGTGGGTGCACAACAAGGTTTCACTAGGTTTTATGATTTGAAGATGAAGATGTATATTCTGGTTATGGGTTGATTTAGATGAAGGGGGGGTGGGTTGGTGGGGACGGGAAAGACAGGAAGGAGGTCTTGGGGTGTGCTTGAGTAAATAAAGTTTCTTTTTATTCAATTTTAATTAACTACCTAATTAATTATGTAGTAATTTAATTTTTAATTAAACTTAATAAGGAAAGTCTTTTATTATTTTGGTTTAACACATGGCAAGTAATGAATGGCATTATAGTACCATTTAGCATAGTCCAATGACAAGCCAACTCCTTAATTTTTAATTCTTCCCCTTAATGCAGATGCTATTTATTATCGATGGAAAAAAATGTTGAACTTCCACCTAAAACCCTAGAAGAATACCATTAATTACTGTACTGCATTAATTTGGTGATGCCCGGGTTTTGCTATTTTGTTTGGTTGACATTTTATATAAATTTCACCCTCAATGTACAATAATAGGCCAACTCAGTTTGCTTTTACTTATAACTACTAAAAATAAGCTTACTAAATTAGATAATATTAAGGTTCTAAAAGACGTTAGGTGCTAACCTGATGGCAAACAAAGATGTAGATGGAGTCTAAGAGATTTTTTTTAATTTTGTATCGGGTTACATAAATTGTAAAATAGAATGACATATAGATTATAAAGTATGAAACATATTAAAAATATGGGGAACAAATATATAATAAACGTTCATCCAAATATCCAACAAGTCTCTTACAATTTATTAAAAATGAAAATACAAAATAAAAGTTATGTAACTTCTCTCTAAGTCAAAGTTGTGGCCTAGGCGAGCTAAGCAAGTGCCTAGTCACGCCCTTCTTAATTTTCCAAGGTATTAGGGATAATCGGAGAGATAGTCAGCCGTCTAATTTTTAGGAGGGGCCTAAGGGGAGATTTTAGAACAGTAGATAATACTTTGTTTCTCATGGAAGGCAAAAGTTGCATCTTTTGAATAATGTATATCTACTGTGTAAACTTCATTATTAAACATGTTTTAACTTTTTAATCTTCATTTGAATCATTCATAAAAAAAAAATCATTCAAATCAGATCATTAGTTATCCATATGTATAAGTTAATCTTCATTAGAAGTTCACCCATACAAAAAATCATTCGAATCAAATCATTTAGTTATTCATATGTATAAAACAAATCGACGATGTAAGTATCATATAATCTATTCATGATTAACCATTTCTTTATTTGATACATTTGAATGATTTAATGGCCTCCGATTCGAATAAAATTTTGTAAGAATGATCTTGAAATGAACTAAAAAGCTGAATGGTTCCGATTATAAAATTATATGACGAAAATACGTTATTTACAAAATGTAGAATATGTGTATTCTCTATGAAAGGAACACTAGTATAATCTAATGGAAAAGGATCTGGATCCCGTGATATTGGTTGTTCATCGTACATTGTGCGGTCAGTTTTCGTTAGATACTATTTATATTTAAGTTTAATTTTTAAATTTTAAATTTCAAATGATTTCTAACCGTACAATGTACGATGAACGGCTACAATCAAGGAATTCCTAGGAAAACGATCCATGGGAAGTAATTTCCTAACAAAGTTATGTCAACAAGGGATCATCGCTTTATGAGCGTGCCGTATAGTCATAAGAGAGTGTATATACTACCAATTGCAAGTAGGTTATGTTGAAGAATGAAAAATTTAACGACTTGAGTTACAAACTTCTTTTAAATCAAAATCAAATTTATCGGTTGTAAAGTTGTAGCAATTTATTCATGAACATTAAAGTGGAAGACCATCACGTAGGGTCGTGGCAGATAATTAGTGAATATTAATTATAACATGTGCTAACCCTACCTCCTAACCAACACGAGGAACCCTAGTGACGACGCCGCGTTGATTAACCCAGACCCAGACCCTATCGCACCTCCAGTCCTTGGTGGTTGCAGACCCTTCCAGTAGCACGATTGCACGAACACCGTGATTCTCTTGCTCTATCTTTGCCGCCACAGCTTCCCCATTTTCTCCCACCACCTCCGGCCATGACTTCTTACCTACACCTACACACACACACACACAGACATATAAAAAAATTATTTAATTAATAAATAACCCACGATGAAATACCAGTAATCCGACTTTATATAGTTTTACCTGGACACTGTGCCATTCTAGCTTCTTTCTCACACACAGATATATTTTGTGTTATCAAACTACTATGGATTGGTATTTATAGATCGATCTGGCATGAAGTTTGGTTTCTAAAAGTTTCAGGCATGCACGCAGTCGAGTCAATGTATGCCGATACATTTGAATTCTGACCATCGCTAGCTGCTCGAACAAGATCTAGATGTCAATCACTTGTGCAAGCCAAGTCCATATGTCTTTCTTCCGTGCATGTGTAATGTTGTTGTCATTTGTGCGTGTTGCCACATGCTTGCTCATCCAAAATCAAATCAAAGTTATCAAACTGATATATTTATCTAATTTGAGCGGTTCCGTTTGGATTCTTCCCCATCATTTATTTGGACTTTATAGCTCAAAGAAGTAAACTTTACGCGACGGAACCTTAAATTTAGTCGTGCAAAGGTTGTCATATTACGCTTCAAATTTTTTCTGGCGCGAAAATTTTATCCACGAATGTATATTTGTCCGCCGAACATTATTCATTGAGCACAAACCTCTGAAGAAACTAAAACGTTGATCTTTTTTGCCCGTTGAACGTCTAAATTCCATCAAGTAAAGTTTATTTGCCCGATAGAATTTCGTCCGTTGGACAAACTTTCGTCAAATATATAATAATTTATGGTAGTAAGAGTGGTTTGGGGTGGAGATTGAGCTAGAACAGTCAAATCCATCCCAAATAATAGCATCTCAATTACAGCCCAATAGACACAATCCTTGGGTTCTAATTTCTGTAGGCCCGTGCCCTTCTCCTCCCTTCCAAATGCCAGATTCATTTCCATCTAATTCACCTAGTCCGGAATTCAGATCGTTAAAATTTGATCCAACGGTTAAAAAGAAATAGTCCATTTGAAAATGATAATAATTGTAATCGTTGAATCAAATTTCAACGATCCGGATCTCGAATTAGATGGATTAGGTGGAAAAGAATCCGAAGATGATCCCTTTCCCCTCCCAAAAACCCTGACTCTGCAAGCCTACTGGCCGTTGGCCCCTAGTTCTGGCTTGAGGTCGGTGGGTAGCCTGCCTTCCACCCTCTCGAGAATCCTAGCCCTCTTCCGTCTCTGCATCCTTCCACTTCCAACATCTTCCCCTATGATTGCTTCCCTTTTTTCCTTCCGACCCCTCTTTACTCTGTTTTCTTTGCTTTCCCCTTTTCCCTTCGACTCCTCCCTCCCTTTTCCTACTTTATTTGACTAGAGCATATCCATTATTTGACCTTTAATTTGTAATTTTCTTGAGTTTTGTCTCTATCTCCCTGAGCTCGTCTCATGTCTAGATTTTTATGTCCCTTTTTACCTCTAGATGTTTATACCTGTCGTCAATCCTCCACCCCCGACCTCTGCTACTTGACATATTGCTTGTCTCTTTTGGCAACTCACTTTAGTGTTGAGTGGTTCTTAAAGTGCATTTAGCACTGTTTGGTAAGATTATGAAAGCGCTTTTTGCCCAGATGGCTTCCTCACCCTCCGTTCATCCAGTTTGTACGTGATTTCTTCTTGATGGTGGTGACTGATCGATGATGGCGGCACTGTTGGCATTGAGGAGTCTGCATTCTTCCAGATTTGGAGTTTTGTTGTTGTGGGCTTGCGCTTTTCAGGATCTTCGATTGTATTTACTTTTGGACTAGCTTGTATTTGTACTGCCTTTGAAACTTCTATTTCTTATGTTACTTTTTAAATGAATGAAAGTTATCTGTTTGGCAAAAAAAAAAAAAACACATAATTCTTGGGTTTCCTTTGCCACGAAGTGTTACTATCTACATCAATGTTATAAATTTACTTGAATTCAATATTTAATAGTATACTTTAGATTTATAAAATATTAATTTTGTTGTTCATCTATATATGAAGACATATGGAACATTTCATCCTCTGTACAATTGAATCTCAACTAAATTTCTTGTTCCACTGCCTTTTCCATAAGCAAAGGATTTCGAAATCGAAAGTTTAAAATAGTATTCTCTGAACAGCTCTCCTCGGCCGTTGGATCGGGTGAAGCCCTCTTGTTATATTCTTGGCTATAGCCTATAGGGAGAAGATGGTGCTGTTTTCTTGGACTCCGAATTTCTTTCATCAAGATTATCGGATCAAGTGATCCGGACTTTTCAAATATTTTTAAATGACAAAAAATTATCACTTTCAGTTTTTTTGTTACTCATCATTTGCCTTGGAATTTAAATAGCTGGTCTTCCATCTTTATCAATCTGCTAAAAAAAAAAAAAAAACCAAATGCTTTGAAGATTGAAGACTAAGTTGCCTTGGAATTTAAATGGCTTGTCTTCCATCCTAATCAATTTGCTAAAAAAACAACCCAATGCTTTGATGATTGAAGGCTAATTTGTTTTACTTTAATTTGTTGACTCTCTCTTCCCCCTGAAAATTATGTCACCTCCTAAAACATATATGAGATCAACCTAAAAAGACTATGTAACATGTGCAATAAACTTGAATATAAACTCCATTATGCATTAACGTTCAACAATTAGAGAATATTAAATTTAAAAGGAATTAAAGAGATGAAAAAATAAAAAAGAATTGATTAGCATGGCTCACCTAAATCAAACCCGCATAAGAAATTAAAAGACCCAAAACAATGTAGAGCGAATTTTGAGTTTGAGAGAGTAAAGTGACGAGTTTTGAGTTACACAGAGCAAAGTGAGATTAAAATCGAGTTTAAAAAAGCATAGCTAAAAATAAGCCAATAATTAAGGAGAAATGTATTTCACGATTTGTTGCATGAGCGAAGCTGGCCATTAAGCAAACCAAGCTGCCCGTCGTCTTGCTCACTACTCTCTTACCAGCTCCACTGAAGTCTCTTGGTTTGAAGAGCCTTCAAACATATTACTTGATGTTTTTTTCTAAAGATTGTAATCCTTAAGTGGCTGGTTTCTTTCCTAACCAACTTACCTGCTATTATCTCTTTGGCTTTTGAAATATATCGTTGTTTTTGAAAAAAAAAAAATATATATATATATATACACACACACTAAAACCCGGTGAATGGGTATTGTTCATTAACAGTGCCCATCCGGTTTTACCCCTCATTTTATTCATGGTTTTTGCTGGGATTGTGCAATAAATTGTCTATTTTGCCCCCGTTTCATTTTTGTTTGAAGCTGTTGCTCTCCGTTTGAAAGGTGCTTTTTGGTGTTTTTGGTTGAGCTTTGGCCATTTTTTCTTTTCCTCTACTTTTCTTCTCTATGTTTTTCCGTCTATCTTTTGCGTTTCTCTGTGTGTCTTGCTGTTTTCATTGCGATCCGATCGTTTAGAAGGGTGGTTGGCCTGTTTTTTCCCGCTGTTTTCCGCGGAGGAATCGCAACGGTTTGGGTGCGTTGGTTGCTGTGTGCCGTTATTTTGTGCTTGGTTGGTAAGACATTTTTTTAATTAATTGTTGTAAAATTCGATTCCTGCTAAGTTTTTTCTTTATTTTTTCCTATTTTGTGTGTGGATCTTTTGTCTAATTTTGTTTTTGGTTGCAAGAAACGTTTATCTTCCAACTTTAGGGTTTTGTGTGGGAGTTGAAATTTTTTTCATTTATTGATATCATAGTTTGCCATCGTTTGTCCGATTCATTCATGTAAAGTATTACTGCTAATTAATTACAATTGTATTAACATTTTGTTTTAGTTGTAACCTTTTCTTTTCTTTTTTTTCCCTTGATGATCCAAATTGTTTTATTTGCAGTGACTACTTCAAGGAAAATGTGCTCTTATGGGATATTCTATGTTCAAGTAATTATACAAATGAAGCACTGGGATGACTGTCAATAGGGAATACTAGACATACTAGACTAGCCATTTTTGTATGTGAATGACAAGGCATTTGACAATTTCTTTTCTGTAAGTTACACAAACTTAGACAGCTTTGTAAAAATATTTGCTCCATTTTCTACTTAATGTTTATCTTAGTCTTTGGTTATTTATATGTTACAAATAGAGAACTTTAACGAAAAGCTTATGGTACTGTTTACTTTAACTAAAAATTATATTTTTACATTAAAAAGTCAATCCTGATATTATTCACTTTACCTTTTATTTTTTTGTCCTTATCGTTAAAACTAAAAGTTTTCAAATCTTTTTTATTAGTTTTACTTTAAAAATATAGCCTATAGTTATATTTTCGCTCCCGCATCAACGGGCGGATAAAATTTACTAGTATATACTGAAGACCTCTAATAAAAGTGAAATTTAAAAGAAATAATTTCATCACTCTTTTCTCTCTTTATACACTCCTATCTATTTCGAGAGATTTTTCAATATGTTTGGAACACGGAATGAAACATCGCATATCATTATACAATTCGAAAAATATTTCAAAAAAAAGTTTTACACTAATTATATAATAACATGTGGTATTCCGCTTTATGTTACGGCACAGTGAAAAATTCCTCCTTTATTTGTTGCATGAATACTTGCAACAGGCTTCGACTTAAATTACGTACGTACTCATTACAATACACAAACAGTACGTACTCGTTACAATACACACACATTGACACATACATACTTAAACTCTCTCCAAAACGGTGACCGGAAGTCCGCCTTTCATCTTCGCGGTAAGGTAGGACAACAGCTCCGGCTGTGCCCCGCCCTCCCTCTCCCGCGGTACCACCTTAAACCGCTTCAAAACCGCGCTCACGACCCTCTTCATCTGCAAAACGCCATCTCCCTTCCCAAACAAATCCTGGGCCCCGCTTGAAAAACAGGATAGCTATACGTGTCCCTCCCAACAAACTTCCACTTGTGAGCCCCCCTCTCCTCTCTCTCCAGCCACCTCTCCGGCCTGTAATCCGCCCAGTCCTCCCCCCAGATCTCCTCCATGCGCCCCATCGCGTACACGTGGTACATCACACTCATCCCCTTCTTCACCTTCGTGCCGTCCGGCAAAACGTCGTCGTTTGCCGCTTGTTTGCTGTCGGTGGGAACCGGCGGGTACAGCCTCATGCTCTCGCACAGCGCCGCGTGGGTGTACACCATCTCCTTCACCTCGTCGTAACCTCCTCCCGCTGCCGACTCAGACGACGCCGCTTCGTTGATCTCCCTCAAGATCTCGTTTTCCACACATGGGTTCTGCGAGAGAAGCCAGAAGAACCAGGTTAGAGCCGCCGACGTGGTGTCCCGGCCTGCGAGGGTGAAGCTGATGACGATGTCGGTGACGAACTTTTCGTCGGTGTGGCCAGAGCTCAAGAACCGGGAGAGCAGATCT